TTATATAAATACACATATCTTGAGTTTATAGAACTTTTAGGCCTTTGAGACTGAGTTCTGTTGCAAATAGCAGAGCTAACGGAATTAGGGTTATATATATGAAGGGAGGACGGTTATCATGAGGATAGGCTAAGATTTCTTAACTTGCTGAGTTGTAAGGACAGTAAAACCAGAGGTCCAAATGTATTACCACTTGAAGCAGTCTTATTTAAGCTGAGTCCTTACAACTCAGCAAGTTAAGAAATCTCAGTGGACCTCTTGTTTTACTTGTATCTCCACTTGAAGCAGTCTTATTTCTATAATAAGACAGTGAATTTGTGGAACAAATAGTCATTTATAAGACTACAAGTTGCAAACTTTACATGGGTTTAAGAATATGTTTGATGAATATTTGGGAGATTAGGGCTGAATTTCTTTATTAGTATTTTTCATTTTGAGGAAGGTTGGGAGTCAGGACATTCTTAATTGATCAAAAGGCACCTTGTTGTCTCAACTTATAAACTGAGTAGGAATAACAAAATTATGAATCCTACATCACATATAAAACAGTTATATCTTTTAAGTAACGGATATAACTAGCAACAAATGTACTTACTTACAGTAAGATTGTGATGAATGGATATCATAGTTAATAGCCTATGTGATCAACTAAATCTAGTTACTAATCTTTTTAATAACTAGGTACTAATTACTTGTATCCTACACTTCAGGTGCCATCTTTAAGGAAGTCTTGAAAGGGACGATGGACTCTATGTGCAAATGAAAGCCATAATTCAAACCTGAGGTTTTTTGTGGCAAATAGATATCAAGCATTATAATGATTAACAATATACACTGTCACCTAAGCCAGGATCCCAAACTATCTCAGCATAAGCCCCCCCCAGAGCATTCTACATCCTGATACATAAATATTTATTATTTTATTTTCATTGTAAATGTCATATTGAAAGAATGAACCAAAAATTAATTTAAAAAAATAACAGTATTGTGCACTTACTACAGCCCCTGTGAAACTTTCTTGCAGCCCCCAGTTTAGGAAGCACTAACCTAAATAAATTAAATAGTAGTTAGGGCATAAGCTACTAAACAACCAGCAATGAATGATTTGTTATAATAAATAATCAAATAATAATATACATAACAGTTTGTAGTTTACTTTTTTGGATATACCGAGGATATGACCATGGATATTGCACTGCCCCAATCTCCACCTTGTAAGTAAAACTTTTTGAAACCAAGCCTGCTCATCAGTTTGACAAAAACCCGTCCTGCATCTGTCATTGAGAAGCCTAGGTGCAAAACAAAACATAAAAAATTTGTTCAGCATATCTAGGTAGCTTAGAAATGTATATACACTGTTACGATATTAAGAAAAAAACAAACAAAAAATTAATGTACACGGGCAATTGAAAAGTCATCAAATTATCATTTGCCACCTCCTCATACAGTTGGAAGGAGGCCCAAAAATAACAACACTAGTTAAACCTTCATTTTGTTATTGAAACTGAATATTGTGATCGCATAAATACAACAAGACTAACACAGAAAAAGATCGGCATATACTTTCACCAAAAACAAAAAAACTTTTTCCTTATTGAGGATCTTATTAATTAAATACACATGCAACACTGTATTTATATATATATATATATTGAACATAGGCATTCACAGGCAAACCTTTAGTAAAAGTACTTAAGTTACGGAACATATATTTTCATGGGTACCTTTTGGTTACACAGTGGTCATAAGGTCAGTCATTTTGACCAACCCTGTATCAACAGAATTTAAGTAACAGACTTCAGCCTTTAGGTTGTGCAGATGAGGAGGGAGGATAACAATGGAGACAGATATGGATGGTAACCAAAAACATGAGGAGGTTTCATAAATATATATATATAGACACACATACATATATACATAGAAGCAAAAGTAACTGCCCCCAGTGACAAGAAAAGTTTAAGTTAATCTACTAATATAAAATATTTCATGAACTTTAAAAGGTTTCTTGTGTTGTACTTGGTTTTACTTACAGTCAAAGCTCTGAGCTACTTATACTGCCCACCACGAAAAGTAGTTGTTGAGCATTTCAGTCATGCTAAGAGCCATTCAACAATAATATATGGTAAATCTATATATTTATTCTTTACATTATGCCACATTTTGAAATGTGAATGATAGTGTGATTAATTCCTAACAACTTAGCGTATAATATCCTGCCTTCCAAATAAAATTTACCATCAACATTATTCATGCCTGTTTTCTCATCATTTCAAAAGTGAATGTTCAGCTTTGCCTGTGTGCGCAGCTTCTCAAACGGGAGACAGACGAATGCTCAGACAGACACCACAGTTCACAAAATATATAGTACTTAAAAAAAAATTATGGAAACAGTAAGTACAAATATATAAAAGGTAAATACTAGGGGAATCAGAAGAATAACTTCAATAGCTCACAATAGTGAAGGTACACCACAAACTTTGTAAAAATGTATGCCGTAAACTACCAAATATATTTGTGTCTATTCCCAAAACAAGTTCCTTGCTTGAATGCATTAGCCTGTTTCCACTTCCCCAGTCACTGGCTAAAGTATTCTATCTACAATTTTGGCGAATGACAAAGCTCCTTATAACTCGTAGCCTCTTTCTTCATAAGACAGTGACGCCATAAGTATCCAGTGCAAGTAGGGAGAAATTTAAGTTTTTATAGTTAATACAATTTGTCCACAAAAATTTCAGTTTTATCATGTAAAACTTTTTAAATTCTACATTCATGATAATACATTCGACTTTTGTGACATTTGCACCTTATATATCTGAGGTGAAAAACTGAAACAAGAGAAAATTCATTTTTAACATTTCTCAGGAAGGGTGAAAGCAAGTTTTTTGTTAAATTTAGAGAAGATTATTTTTATCTAAAAGGTTTTGTCTTGTTTCTTTTGGCCTATATTAATTTCTTGAGCAGTTTAGAAGCACAAAAAAAGGCAATTTCATTTGAGTATATTTTGAGTCTAGGAAAGTCTCACATTTAATTTTAGGGCGTCTTAAAACCATCCTGCTTTTTCACTCTCACTTAAATTTATCTATCAGGTAGCTTATTTTCTATGGAGTCAACCTCTGCCCATGACTAGAATGCCATTCCTTTATCTTCTGAATACGAAATGTACCAGAGTACAGTCACTTGTTGATAGTTTACACTGTGATTGGCTGTTTTCCAATCAATCAGAAAGTGCCACAATAGTATAAGGCCTATAAAAGTACAGGCATGCATACTGTGTTCCCAGTGGTAGTAGTGTGTATCCACCACCCACAGCTCTCAGGATTGAAATACTATATATGAGAAACATGCAGAAATCACAATATGAGCTGGTCAAGGATATTCCAAATGAAAACATTTCAGTAAGATTTGATGTTTTAGTAGGTTGGAGCTTGTACGCAAGACTCTGAAAAAGGTATGTAAAATGGGCTTTGTTAATAATAGACATAGTTGAGATAGAAAACCACAACTCTTCAGAAGCAATGTTCACCATTTCAGGGTATGTTCTTGACGAGCTAGACACCATTCAAGTACAGATCTTATCAATAACTTTTCTGTAAATAAAAGTTTTAATGTTACTTTGGAAACAGTAAAATACATACTAGTATGAAGTAGTCTCATAATACGTGTAGCTGTTTGCAATCCATGCTGAAAAGAAGTAACTCCACCAAAAGGATGAAATGGACATTGGACCACAAAATGCAGAATGAACAATACTAAAGATGTGTGCTCTACCAATGAATCCTAGTTTGAATTGTTCAACAATCCATGATAATTGTTTTTAATGGTGGAGAGGAGAATGATATCATAGCCAATGTGTAACATCTAAAGTGAAGCATAGTAGGGAATTAGTACAGATATGGAGTTGCATCTCAGCCAACAGTGTCAGTGATTAACAATACATTGATGGCACCCTGACTGCTGATAAGTACAGGCACTTTCTGATCCATCATGCTTATTTCCTCAAGAACACTAACTCCTTGGATGGAGATTCATCTTCCAATAAAACATTGATATCAAGCATATAGCAAGTGTAATGAAACAATACCTAGATTGTAAATAAACCAATTGATTTCCCACAACCATGACTCAGGCAACACAAAATCCCAATATGAACATTCTTGAAGTATAGGCTTATGTAAAGATTGAGAATAGGTGAGCAAACAATTTTGTTGAATTGTGGGTAGTAATACAGGATAAATGAAACATTATTCCACAATCATACATTGATAATCTGTGTGAAAATAATGTAAGGTTCTTAGAAAAGCAAAATGGCTACATATAGAAACTAATGAATAGCACAACTTACTCACTTCTGTATTTTCTGTGAATATATTTTGTACTATTAATAAATTCACCACTTTGTTGCCATTTCTCATTGTTTATGACTCCTGTATAAACACACAAATGTATGAGGTTTAAGGCCAGCTTAACATAATGCTATTCCAAAATAATGCAACACCCCTGTAATACAAGCTTTGTATAAGGTAGTCCAGGTTCCCAATCATTGGATCAGAAAAGGACCACTCTTTCACCAAAGGGCAATTCTATGGCCACTCACATCACCCAAACTTGATATCTTTAAAATCGCTTTTGTGAGAAAATGTGAAAAACATTGTCTACAACACTACAACATTTGCAAGTTTTGATGATATAAAACAGATTTATAGCTGCTATTTAAATATTCACCCCCCCCCAGATGTTAAGTAAAACATCAATATTTATTGACTGATAAGCATATGGATTATAAACTTAAAATTTTACTCTATTTTAACAAAAATTTCATGTTTCTATCAGCAACAGGACTAGAAATACACAACATATGACTCATTACACCGTGCCTTGGGAAATCAGGAGTTTTTAATTTACTCTTGTTAATTATTTTACTTATGCTTTACGTTTCTGATTATTTTCTCCAGGGAGATCCAGATTTGAAAATTACTATTCGCAGAGTGCCATATAAAAACTGTGACATGCTCCGAGGCATACCGTATATGGGTTTACGGGATAGCCAGAAGTATAACGGTGCCCAAGGGCACGGCATAATGGGTCATTTGCAGCTACACTATATTTGTAATTCTATCAAGATGTACATCTTGAAAAGGATATTGGCAGCTTATATTTCTTATGTGATAATTACTGAATAATATTCAACCTACTTGCTAGAAAAATTCTTAACCAAGAGACTCTCGTACACATGGTGTTATATTTCATGAATTCACTGACCACACGAAATGGTCTCATTACTGCCCCAAAGACAGTTCTCTTCCTGGATCCCCCAAGCACATTACTTCTAGACCTCACCATCTGTATGAAAACAGACCCAAGAAGAGTTTACAGGCTCCGGGTACACTGGGGATACGGTTGAACAGGAGCCAAGCCATAGGTTACCGCTGCACTACATAGGTCTCTCAAGAGAAAACTTGGATGGTCATACCAAAGAAAACAATCATACCACTCTCTAGTATACAAAGCAAAGGGTATAAAATGAAATAAATCAGTAAATTTAAATATCTAGACTCTAACATAACAACAGAAAGAAGAAATAAAGAAAATAATAGGAATGGTAAATGACACTTTCTGAAAAGTGAACCCAACACTGAAGAACAAGAATATTTCTATGACCATTAAAACTCGAGTTCCCAAATGTTATGTTTGGTTGGTTCTACTATATGGATGTGAATGTTGGATGGTAACTAAAGAAGTTACAAGCCACTGAAATATGGTTTTGGAGAGGAATGCTCGGGATAGCATGGACTAAAAAAATTACGTATGACAAAGTTCTAGAAAGAGCAAAATCAAGGAAATCTTTTATAAAAACCATCAGAAAAAAAGAGTTAAAACTCTTAGGGCATGTCATCCGTGAAGAAGGCTTAGAATATCAAATACTAACAGGAAAAATTGAGAGAAAAAGAGACAAAGGAAAGTAGAAAACAAAGTACATTACTAGCCTGAGGAAATAGATTGACAAGCCAGCACTGAAAGACAGTGATATCATCCAGTTAGCTTGACACAAAGAAAGATGAAGAGTCATGATCGTCAACATCTGCTCGTAGACACGTGCTCAAACAAACAAATACGAAGATGAGATTGTACTCATCTACCACAAATACATGCTTAAACCTAATGCAAATACACAGATTTATGCTATACAAACACGTATTACTATCAACTGGATAGTTTTATTGAAACAATAAATCTTGGGTTTGAATACTGTTGATATAATATTCCTCTTACACAAGTTTAACGACTTACTGAAATAGCTACATGAATAATTGCATTTTAGATTCATCACTCTTTCGTGAAAACTTGGAAATGTTTTCAAATATATCATTCTTATTTCATATCATACAAAATAAAGTTGAGTATACCTTATTAAAAAGGGGATGATGATGATATAAGATTTAGTAATTTTGTAATAATGGTAAGTACTCACCTGGTTGATGCGGGGCTTCAGAAAAACCATACCCTGGTATTGAAGGACATATTACTTCAAACACGAAATCCCTGTCATCAGTTGAGGTGGTGAGGAGTGGTATTATCTTGTAAAATTCAACAAAAGAACCAGGCCAACCATGGATTAGCATTAGGGGAAGTATTTTAATCTGTAAAATGAAGCAAACATGCATTAATATAACAAAATACAAGCATTCACTAAGAAGGTTCAAAATATAATGTAATATCTTACTGGTTAGTTCAAAATATAAAGCAATATATTACTGGTTAGTTCAAAATATAATGCAATACCTTACTGGTTAGTTCAAAATATAATGCAATATATTACTGGTTAGTTCAAAATATAATGTAATATCTTACTGGTTAATTCAAAATATAATGCAATATATTACTGGTTAGTTCAGAATATAATGTAATATCTTACTGGTTAGTTCAAATTATAGTACAATATCTTACTGGTTAGTTAAAAATATAGTACAATATCTTACTGGTTAGTTCAAAATATAATGCAATATCTTACTGGTTAGTTCAAAATATAGTACAATATCTTACTGGTTAGTTCAAAATATAATGCAATATCTTACTGGTTAGTTCAAAATATAGTACAATATCTTACTGGTTAGTTAAAAATATAAAGCAATATATTACTGGTTAGTTCAAAATATAATGTAATATCTTACTGGTTAGTTCAAAATATAGTACAATATATTACTGGTTAGTTCAAAATATAAAGCAATATATTACTGGTTAGTTCAAAATATAAAGCAATATATTACTGGTTAGTTCAAAATATAATGCAATATTTTACTGGTTAGTTCAAAATATAATGCAATACCTTACTAGTTAGTTCAAAATATAGTACAATATCTTACTGGTTAGTTCAAAATATAAAGCAATACCTTACTGGTTAGTTCAAAATATAATGCAATATTTTACTGGTTAGTTCAAAATATAGTACAATACCTTACTGGTTAGTTCAAAACATAATGCAATATCTTACTGGTTAGTTCAAAATATAATGTAATACCTTACTGGTTAGTTCAAAATATAATGCAATACCTTACTGGTTAGTTCAAAATATAATGCAATACCTTACTGGTTAGTTCAAAATATAAAGCAATATCTTACTGGTTAATTCAAAATATAATGCACTATCTAATTGGTTAAGATGATTTATCTGTTACCTTGATCATTTTTCAGTTATATGAGTGATAAGTTAAAAAGTCATTTAAAAAAATCCTGATTTATTATATTACTGATTTAAAATCTGAGATGACAACATTTTTTTGGATTGCATTATTATGTATTTGACATGTTGTGTATATGATCACAGATGAATTACTTTTGATAATCAAAATTAAAAAAAAAACGTTTTTAATTTTAAATATGTATGAAAGTTTTAATGCAAATTTCTACAATTTAGTTGAACTTATACTTCAGTCATCTTATGACTTCTGTTATATCTACATATTCTTAAATGATTCTAACTCAAGTTTGTTTACCAAACTGGAATCTATGAAATCTTATTCTTACCCAAAATTGAGAATAGTTTTTTATCAGAAAGGATGTTTATTTGTTTTTAAGCTCAAAGCTATACAATGAGTTATCAGTGCTCTGCCCACTGAAGGTATAAAAAATTTTATTTTCAGCACAAAAAGCCATCAGGCTTACTATAAGCCACTAGGGGGCTATTGGAAAGGGGGAAAAAACTCAATTTATGAAGATTTATCTAATTCAAATCTATACAAAGATTACCCCTTTTTTTAAGTTTTACATTCAAACAATTGCTAAAGTTCTTCTTCTGGTAAAAAACAACAACATTAATTTATTTCTGTAATCTTTTAACCCTTTACCACAGTTTTCAACAGGCACCAAAATAATCTGTAATAATTCCTAACATTTTACACAAACTATAACTTGGATTTAGGCCTAACATAAAATCTCCCAAGCTGGCTGAACCTCATGAGATACTATTGGGTTTATGACAAAAATATAACTAATAGTGAGAGTAGCCAACTGAAGAAACAATGCAATCTAATATTTTAACTGTCTATATTCATTATTAGGTTGATTTTCACTACTGATCTATGTAGGTAGCTTGCTTTGATCAGATGTTAATATCAATTTACCCAAATCAATGGAATTTTAGGCTCCAGGAAAGAAGCCGAAAGTTAGAAGAAATACAAAAATTACTTAACAATGCCTTTTTTTTCAGTGTAAAATATTTCTTAATGATAAGTTTTAATTTCTTTTTTAAAGTATTGTTGAATATAGTTGTAGATACCTGTGAACGGTACAGATTGAAAGTATTTTTCTATTTCTGTTTATTTGATTTGGTACAAATTCATGATGTTAGGAAAGGTCCATCTTTCTCGAGTTATAGGGTTCTGTACCTTTGTGATACAGTAAAAAATAATTTATGCAACAAGTTAAATACTCCTTTAAAAGAAACTTTTAAGAGGAGAAAAAAAAATCAATTAAAGTCTTGAATATTAGTCTTAATTTCATTAAAACGTTTTATGAAGAATTTCCCTTTTTGTTTGTTGAAATTTTGCACAAGGCTACTCGAGGGTTATCTGCACTCGCAAGAGAGAAATCAGCTAGCCAACACCGCCCACTCGAGGGCTACGTGCAGTCACCGTTAAAGTGACGGGCTAGAGAACAGGCAGATAGCCAACACTACCCACTGTCAACTCTTGAGCTATTCTAATCAAATATTGGAATTTGACCATTGCTGTTGAGTGCACTCAAAGGGTGGAACATGATTTGAAGAATGAAAAATTATGTTTTTCAAACACACAGAATATATATACACACACATACAGAAGACACACTGTATATATTAACCACAAATGTATGGAGTTGAATACCAGTTACAACTTCCAAGTTTACACAATATAAAAGACATGCATGACACATGAATAAATGTGGAATTTCCTTTATTGACTTAAGTCCTTTACTTTTTGTGTATGGTTATTTAATACACAACTAATAAAATGTTTCCAGAGTAGAGAAGTAAGGTAAATTAGGAAATGAAAATACAATAGTGTGAACCCAGTTCTGGGTTCACACTTTATCTAAACAGTATGTCTGGGTTCACACTTTATCTAACAGTATGTCTGGGTTCACACTTTATCTAAACAGTATGTCTGGGTTTACACTTTATCTAACAGTATGTCTGGGTTCACACTTTATCTAACAGTATGTCTGGGTTCACACTTTATCTAAACAGTATGTCTGGGTTCCCACTTAATGTAAATGGTATGACTGGGTTCCCACTTTATCTAAACAGTATATCTGGGTTCACACTTTATCTAAACAGTATGTATACTGTTTAGATAAAGTGTGAACCCAGACATACTGTTTACATAAAGTGTGAACCCAGTCATACTGTTTACATAAAGTGTGAACCCAGTCATACTGTTTACATAAAGTGTGAACCCAGACATACTGTTTACATAAATTGTGAACCCAGTCATACTGTTTACATAAAGTGTGAACCCAGACATACTGTTTACATATAGTGTGAACCCAGTCATACTGTTTACATAAAGTGTGACCCCAGTCATACTGTTTACATAAAGTGTGAACCCAGTCATACTGTTTACATAAAGTGTGAACCCAGCATACTGTTTAGATAAAGTGTGAACCCAGACATACTGTTTAGATAAAGTGTGAACCCAGATATACTGTTTAGATAAAGTGTGAACCCAGACATACTGTTTACATAAAGTGTGAACCCAGTCATACTGTTTACATAAAGTGTGAACCCAGTCATACTGTTTACATAAAGTGTGAACCCAGTCATACTGTTTACATTAAGTGGGTACCCAGTCATACCATTTACATAAAGTGTGAACCCAGTCATACCATTTACATAAAGTGTGAACCCAGTCATAGTGTTTACATTAAATGGGAATCCAGTCATACTGTTTACATAAAGTGTGAACCCAGTCATACCATTTACATTAAATGGGAACCCAGTCATACTGTTTACATAAAGTGGGTACCCAGTCATAACATTTATATTAAGTGGGAACTCAGTCATACCATTTACATTAAGTGGGAACCCAGTCATACCATATACATTAAGTGGGAATCCAGTCATACTTTCACATTAGGTGTGAACCCAGTCATACCATTTACATTAACTTTTATAAGCTTGGTATAAATAAGATTAAGCTTCAAGTTCATTTATCTCATTTTATTTTAACAACATAAACATTTCACTATAAGCATACTTTTAAAATAACAAAAATGTCAAGGTCCAGCCAATAAAATTACAATACAATGAAAATAGTTTCCTCCACTTATATGTTGCCAAGTTACGTTGAGATCATTAGTTAAACCAAAAACCTTAAACAATGCTTTGTGACGTGATGTGTGGATTTTAACTAATCAAGTAATTTATAGAACAACAAAAATTCTTCTGAAGTCTGAAAATAATTTTACCTTTGGATTTGTTATAGTTGGTTTGATGTGCAAGAAATGAATATCAATCCCTTCAATTTGAGTTAAAAACTGATCATACTGATTCAATTTTTCTTCTTCTTGCCTCCAATCATATGTGTTTCTCCAATAAGTGATCACTTCCTTCAGATAGTTAGAATGAAATCCATACTGGAATTGGACATTGTCCAGTGATTCTGGAAGACGAGCGTTGTCCAAGCGATGGTTTAGGTCTTCTAGAGTCTCATTCTCAACATTTATGACAAAAGGTCTGATTGTGATGTTATCTTCTGGATACTCTGAAGCTATTATAAGAAGTCAATAAATTAAAATTGAAATTTTACAAGAAATAAAACATCAAATCTAAAATTTCTATGGTATATTTTTCTAACTGTTATGAATTTGAAAAAAATAAATGAGACGTTTAAAAAGAATATATAATAATATAATAAGCTTGGCAAGTAAAGCTGGAAGAATTGATGGATAACAACATATATATACTCAAATGGTAACTTAATTTTGTACCTTTATTTTTGTTTCTTTAAACAAGTTCAACCATTTCTGACACTGGTTTAATAGAAAGAAAATTTACTCAGTTAAAAAGGAAACATTGTAACAATTGTAAAATATTATAAAAAGCTCAATAGTGATAAATATTTTATGAAAATACACATTTCAACATTATTAATGGGAAAGAATAAAATTTAAAATCACTAACGATCAGAAGGCATCTTTCCACGGCCCCACCACATGTCTGGAAGGACTGGAGATTCAGGATCTGGCCATACCAGTGGTATCAATATAGCACAAATGATTCCAAAAATGAGAAATAACAAGGTAACACTTGCACAACCCATCTAAAATTACAAAATAATATAGTAAGAAAAAAAAAAAGAGTTCCAAATAGTTTTGCAATTGTAAAGAAAAATTAACATTCTTATTACAAGATGTACATTAATTTCTGCAGTATACACTGAAGAATACTAACAAACTAAATGATATG